GGGTTTTCGTATTTTCTGTGAATTTTCGGGCTGTTTCGTTCTTTGGTGTACTTAAAATCCCCACGTTTCTCTTTTCAAATTACTTTTCTTCGAATTTCTCACATTCTTTTGAATATTCAAAATCTATCTGCTTTAGATATTTTGCGCTCTTGCAAATTTCTTAGATTTGATTTCAACACTCACATTTTTTTGGTTTGTACTATACGCTAGAATGATCTATCCAAATATATGTTATTCTTATATAACGTATCTTACTACAGTCATGGAGACTGGATATGAATCTATCCATACTAACGTTATTCTCTCGAGATAAAACTAATCGAGCGATCGCTGCTGGACTTTCCCACATATAGCGTGGCTTTAGTTTACGATCTCGCGTAAGAAGGGAGCACCGCGAGCAAGAAGAGCGAAAAGAAAAAAAGACATCGGCGTTTCCACACGCGAACGCATAAGACAAAGAGGGGAAACGCGCGAGCACATATCCGCGCTGCCTCACCGCCCTACGTCAGTTTCGTAGAGCAAAATGTTTGTTTAAGTAAGGCCCGGAGCCAAACTCTTTTTACTTGCCTTTTCCTCGCTCGAAATTGATGATTGCACGCACCGCTAATATGGCCACAACGGTTACGCGCAAGGCGGAGGGCGAGGAGAAAAAAAGGAAAGGAAGAAAAAGACGCGATGACGCGCGCTAGGCAGAAACATGCTACGGAGGAAATTTTGTAATCCCGAAATAATCGCCGAAAGACCGTCGCGAATCGACTTTCTCGAATTTAATTCGAATTCTGAAATTTCGCCTTAACTCGAGACGCGAAAATCTTTTGTTGCGAGCAAACATTTTCATTCCACTCTTTTAGATCATTTTTTAATAACGAAAGAAAGAATGTTTTATAAATCGACTCAATGTATATAAGTCGATGTAAATAAAATATTTTGAGACATTATATCATCTCACAAATGCAATTAAAAAGTGACTCTGAGAACATTCCAAGCGATTCTCTTTCGTGCGTGTTTACGATGCACGTGGTAAGTCAACCTTAACGCTCAAACATTTTTTGTCAAAAGAATGTTTTCCTGTCAGACCATATCCTTTTTCACTAATGTCATGTGTTTTAAATTTTAATCCTTTGGCACTTGAAATATTAAGATGCTTTTATCACAATTCCGAAAAAATTGCGGCTGTCATTATAGCTGCTTAATACTTTTAATGTCACAGCACTTTGATCATTTTTCATGATTTTATTGAGCGTGATACTTTCTTTAAATACTTAATAAAAGTCACAATATATATTTTTTATTATATGTTAAATATTAAACTTTATTCTATTTCACTATTACAATATTTAATTCGTCAACCAAAAAATTATATGACGCGAGCAACCTCGAATGGATATCGTAAAATGTTTACCGTAGAGATAAAGAACAAGAGGGGCTGCTGCATTGACTTTTTCACCCTCGAATCGCGGTTCTTAACATCGCGGTACCTCGCTCGGATGGTTGAATTTGTGTGTTTGCGTGGATTATTGAAAAGTCAATAATGGCGCGAACATTTACGCACAGTGCAAATAGCTCTTTCGACATACTTGGTTTTCACTCACTGACATTAATTTACATGATCGATGCGTAAATGTAGCAAACACATACAATAAATATCAGCATTTTTAAATATTTATTTATCTCTTCTATACGATTGGAAATAAAAAGAAAAAATATATAGATATAAATCACGTACGAAATAATTGTGAAAAAATAATTAATTATATTTCAGTCTTCAAAGAGGCAAAGAAAAACTAACATGAAATGTGAAATTTACAAAGCAAATATACAATGACTCATAAAAGTATTTAAACATTCGTATCTATAAATTGAATAAAATTGCTTAAATATTTGAAATATATGTAACATCTAATCTTTGTAATATTAATTAAATAATATACAATGACTCATTAAAGTATTTATAAGCCAATGTATATTAAATTAGATGTTAATTATTAAACTATAATACATTACTGCAATAACATTTTCCACGTCATTATATAGTCGAACGAATACTCATAAGTTCTGCAAAAACAGCCATGGACTGGTCGATTTAAAATCACGTTTTGCAAAAGGCTCGACGTCGTCTTCCGCCCCAGGCCGGACTTAACCCCATCTGTCGAAACACGTGCTCCGAATAAAGCGAGGGGTTTAAGAACAAGGGTTTCGAACGAACCCGTCAATCTATTGGTTCGCTGAAAGATAGAGTGTCTATATTAACCTACACGCTGTCACCGTCAGAGTCCCAAAATCCTTCTCGAACAAGCGTTAATCCATTTTGTTACTTTTGCTTAAGGATATGCAAAATCTTATCCCGTTCACCGGAAGTATTCAGTTCTTTTTAAGTTTTCGAAATCGCATTTTATATATGCTTAGGCAGGCATCAAATTTTTAAACTAGAAAAATCCTAAATCTTAGAATCCTACAGCTGTTCTTGGAATGTGTATATGATTGTTGTACTATGTCTACTATCTGCAATCTTGATGACGAATCTTTCGATAATTTGACACATTTTAATATTTAAGTTTTCATATTTTCAAATTTTCGTTTGACAGTATTCGTTTTTTTTTTAATTTTCCACAATTACACGGTTCTCTCTAAAATTCTAAAAACTTTATGAACTTTAATCATCGCTCAATATCATTTTAACCGTCGAGGATTGAATATAATTTTTTTATAACAGCGCTTTTTTATATGCCCTTTTTTCCAACTACCATCTCCAGTTTCGATAAAATAAGCGGCATGGATATTTCGGTGCACTACCTTTCAATATCGTCAGCCACAATACGCTTTCGCTGTCGACGGAATAACGATTCTTGGATCGCTACTAAAATTAATGGTTGGTTGATGCAAATCGGGAACATGCGGGTGTCAAAAGCAGGCGGATGTGCTACGTGTTATCTTCCGCGCGTTACGAGACGCGACATTAATCTATCGAGTATTCCACGAAATTCGCAGCAAACTCTGTCATTTCATCGCCAACAACTTTGCTTGGGTTTTACGCGGAAATGTCTACTACTCATTTGTCATGAAAAATGTAGAATTAATGTAAGAAATTAATTATGTAGAATTATTTTGGCACATATCTAGTAATGCCATGCAGATAAATGATATTTCTTAAAAACATGAAAATAAATTTGCAGAAAAGATTTTATAAATATATTATAGAGAGAAAAGCTTTACCGTTATATGAATAAATTACATTTTCTTGGAACAAATGGCATTCTACATGTTGCACTAGTTTTGTTCTGTTCTTCATGTTGTCGTGCATTTTATGTATTTGTAACAATTTGGCTTTCGTCAGTATATAGAGACATTAATTTTGCTCTTTCTTTTAATATTTTCTTCTAATTCCCAAAACGTGAGTTTAAATTGTGTCAAATAACAAATATAAATATAAAACGATAAACGCCCAATGCTCTCGAACAAAGTTGCAACGATGGTCGCAACAATTAAATGTCGAGTTATTTTTACGCATACTTAGCTTATTTTGACAGCGCGGTCATCAATATTTCCGCCGGTATAGTTTCATCAATAAGTACAAATATAAAAACATATTTCGCGTATAAACGATGTTATGCGACAGCAAGCAATAAACATTCAGCGTTTTCACTAATAATACTTTTGCAAGTGCATGCCTCGTAAACAAAACGATGCACATGATGCAAGCAGCTTTCATGACGGGTTTTGAAAGAGAGACAAAACATTATTCGAGATTTTTGCGTTTATTTCGTAAGTGTGTTCGCATGACGTACTCATCCCTACGTGTACTGGTACGTATAATAATATAATAATAATGTTAATATCAATAGACGCGCGCGCGCGTTTTGCATATATATATGTATATGTATGTATAGATCTGTCTATTTATACATATATAATGTCTCATTCTATATATACAATCTATTTCTATCTATATGTATGTATATTCGATGCTCATAATAATGTACACGCAGAAATCTGACCGCCTATATAATTATCGATCAATTCGAGCATTAAACGCTAATTATTATTCACATGATTCGTATTTAATGTACGCGCGATTAATAAATATATATATATGTATATATATGTATATATATTATCTCAGCTCTTTTTCGTCGAATACCGCACGAATTTCCGGCACCAAGAAAGGTCATCACATGATTAAATGCACAAGAACGAGGTGCAATCTCTTGCGAAGAAAGTACAATATTCCACTAATCGCTAAAGCTATTATTTTTTTTTACAATTTTTTTCATTGCCTCCATTGTCGTGTTCAAAATTTGAATACTCCTCCAGAGGCAAAGACTAAAGCTGAATAAATTTTCATCATCGACATCGAAAACATAAGATCACACGATTAGTTTTTTTCAGTATACTATATACATTATTATATAACTTTGCTATTTCTTGCATCCCGCACGCTACCTGAACGCTTCCAATCGTGACGATTATCGTTTCCCAATTTCTCGATTAAAATATATCGCGTCGCCGTAAATTTTAATCTATATTTAAATATAGAACAACACACACGAATGTGTTTCGTTATAAAACAATTTTAAATAAATTTTCTTGTTTGCTACAAAAGACGATTGTAAGAGAATCATATCGCTATTAAATGTTATTTTATGACAGGGACATGAATTCTCTCGGAGCTCCCGTTATTCCAAGATATTAAAATATTAGATCATCTCTACTTACGATAAAATAATCTAGCGATATATCTGGCCGTTTGTTTCACGAGCTGCTTGTAACTCGCTCATGTATCCGACATGGCGTCGCATTAAATGCGAAAATTCTGGGATCACTCGTTGCGGAATAATCACGGCTAAAAAAGCGGACATTTCGGGATCGGGAAATACTCGATACAAAACGCGTCGCGCAAAGCAAACAATGACTTTTTTAACCCGTTCCAAGGATATCCCGGCGGAAAGAACAAAAAAAAAAAAAAAAACGTGAGCAAATCATGCAGTCATATTTTCGAAATATCGGGATAGTGCTCGACGTAATGCGAATTCCGTGAAAAATCGCACACTCGACAAAAAATCCGAACCGCACGGTCCAGGCCGATGACTTTGATTCGTCCTTATCGCTATACCTATCGGAAGCAGACAATTGGCAAACAGAGACGCGCCGAGCGATATTTCCATGCGCTTCGCGCGATTTACGGCGGTTTGCACAGATGTGCGCGAAAACAGCGATGGCCGAAAAAATTCGTCAGATAGGTAGGTCAGTGACGGGTTTCGCGATGTTTACGCAGGTGAGAACGATTAAGTTGAAATTCGCGGTTGATTTCCTCTTCCCGGGCATTCACTCGCGTCTCATTCATTAAATCAAGCGAACCTACTGAGTGAAATAAGGAAAATCGACTCATACGACTATCGAATTTACGATGCTGTTGATTAAAAACGACGAATCATATCTCAGTGTGTTAAAAGGGAAGAGGAAATTCACCAATTAAAATTTATGGTCCTTTTTATATACATCTTTTATATGTATTTTTTATATATTATTCTGGGAGCTATGGATTTTAATCACTCAGGTTTTTAGATACAGAGTTCTTTGAATCGGGATATTATCAAATTTTCCGGGAAATTGTGTACCAAAGATCTTTTTCTAGTCTCGTTATACTTTCGAAAAAATATTTCAATTTTCTAATAATAAGCTTATATTATAAAAAGACAACTATTTAATTAACGTTTTGAATTAATTGAAGATTGTTGGAATATTACAACGATATAAAAAAATGAGAAAAGCAATATTGTGGATTCTTGTATCTTTCTACCAAGAAAACTCGATAAAAGTTTTAGCTTAACCGCTACTCGTCACATAATTATCCTCAACGATTCGTTACGCTAATCGTCGCATTAGCTAATTGCCTACATATTACCGACGATTTTCCGCGATACGAAGATACGATTCGATACGGGCAGGAAACTAGGGTTACGTAATTTTTTTACCAGATTTCTCTCCGATACTTTTTCTAGTTCCATTCCTTGGCGAGTTCGTCTGTCGAGGGGATCCATTCTTGTTTCACGTAAACCAAACCCGGATCGTAATGATCGCCATGGTGTTCTTCAAGGTCCCGTTGATGGGACCTTGAATTCCGATATTCTCAGTACTTATGCAACGTTATCGGTAGATTGCCGCTAGTGTTAACAGCGTTACAGTCTTGATAATATCTGTGGTACAGCGGAGGAGACGGTGCCGCGCCCGTCGAAAGCGGTGTCGGCGGGCTGGACCTGCAGCAGATTAAATTACATTTTGAAGGTTCGCGATTTCAGTTAGTCTTATCTTATAATTATTATTATCTACAATTTATTTAAAAAATTGATATTTTATCAACAAATATATATTGTGGTTATTAGTTTAAATAATCCATCTATCTATTAATTTTTATCAACAACTGTGACACACAAACCGTGAAAAGTTATTTATGTAAGAAATTGTTTCATCTGTGAATCCTAGATTTATGTGAGAGGCACCATAAATTAATAATAATACAATCGATATACTTCTAAAACGCGAAATTTTCTCAAGCAAAAAATTTCGTATGCAAAAAAATTAGGTAACACATAATCTCTATGTTAATTTTTAACTTGATAAAATATGCAATGTTATAAAAGTGTCATATTTTAATAAAATTATATTAATTTTGATTTTCATGTATGAATTATTAAATATTGGAAGATTGAAAGTTTGTTATATGAAACTGTGTATTTATGTGAGTAACTAGTAGTAAATATAAATGTTTAAACTATATGAAAATGTAATTTCTCTCTTTTAAGTAAAGTGATGCAATGTGCGGCTTGTCAAACTTTCATACAAAAGTCACTACCACCGCGTATGTACCAAACTTTCGCCACGATTTATTTACGACGGAGAAATTGCTCATAAGAGAAAGTATACTCCTTGCAAAGTTGCACTTATGCATCTGAATAAATCATATTATCATTTCAATTAATTATAAGGTCAATCTCTTATAATGCCGTTTGTAGTAGTAAAAGGAGAACTTTATATTATATAATATATTCTAATTATTTTCAAGAAGAAGAGAGATAATATTATAATATAATTATAGTAAATTAATAAGCATATATAATATGATAAATAAATATATAATTAATATATTAAATTTTTTGAAAAAATATCTGACAATGTGCTATGTGCGTGTGTGTGTGTGTGTGTGTATGGAAAAAGATGTAACAATTTATATATTTTTATATCTACATTTATATAAACAATATATTTTTTCTTTTTTTTTTTTTATTGACGAGGAGAAACTTACCGGATTTTAATTTTTAATATTTGATACTTTTAGTTTACAACATGCTTTGCCATTTTAAGATAAATTTTAATTAATATCAATATATAACCATATTGTATCAATATATTTAGTAAGTTCAAATTGGAAATGTATATTGAATTTAATGTACGATATTACTTGATATTTTATAAAAAAACAACCTTTATAATCATTCATTAAATGATGTATATTATATCATATCAGAAACTAATGTACATTATTTGATAATCTTTATAAAAGACAGACTTTGCATTTTATCAAACGACCATAACTTTCATAGAATGGCAAACAACCTGAACCGTTCAAAGAGCTTAATCTATCATCTATCTTACCTATAAAGCTGACAGCTCGGGGACTGGGTGTCCTGGTAGATCGCTGCGTCGGGACTCGCGGCGTCCTGATACCACTGCGAGTGTCCTACGGCGTTGGTCGCGTGGTTCCTCGCCGAGTTGTACTCGGCGTGGTCCATGATGGCATATCCGGCGGCCGCCGGCGCGCAGTACGGCGTGTACATTGTGCCGGGTGGCGAGGCGTTGCCCCGGGAAACCGTGCTGGTATGTCCGTAGCCGGTGGTGGCCATCATCGCCGCTACCGCGGCGGTCGTGGTGGTTGTGGTGGTGCATGCGGATGACAGGTCTCTGCTGCCGGTACCCATGGACTCCCTGCTGCTCATGATGGAATGAGGATGCTGAAGACTATGCGGATGGTGCGAGTGATGCTGATTGTCGCGCGCCATCAGACCGCCGCTGTTCTCCCGCGTGGTCATCAGAGCGTCTACGCTAAAGCTGGTCGGGTCTAGGCCGGCCATGGAGACATCCTGAATCGACTCCTGGTGCACTTGATGTGCCGGGTGCACCTGATGACCTAAGGCTGTCTGGATGACGCTCTGCCCAGGCGCCGCAACGGCCGTCGTCGTCTTGGTATCCTGTATCGGGCTGTGCAAGCCGTACTTGCTCGCCTGGACTGCCGCCGCCATGCAATGAGTGCCAGCGTTATGATCGTTTACCGGTTCCCGCTTAGGCTTGCACAGGCTAGTGGTGCTGTTCTCCAGAGCGCCGAGCTTCTTCGCTGGCGTGTCCGGTGGCGGCAACGCAACCTGGCTGCCGCCGGATTTGGCATCCTCCTGCACCCGTTTCTCCGGCACTAGACCCTGCCGCTTGAGCGCTTCCTCTTTTTCCTTAAGCGCGTCCTTCTTCTTGAAGCGTCTGCGACGTCTCAAGTAAGAGCCGTTGTCGAACATGTTGTAGCTATCGGGATCGAGGGACCAATAGCTTCCCTTGCCCGGTTTCTTGTCATCGCGCGGCACCTTGATGAAGCATTCGTTTAAGCTGAGATTGTGCCGTATGGAATTTTGCCAGCCCTGCTTATTCTCGCGATAATACGGAAATCGTTCCATGATAAACTGATAGATGCCGTTCAGCGTGATTTTCTTGTCCGGCGCGTTCTGTATGGCCATGGCGATCAGCGCGATGTACGAGTACGGCGGCTTTACCATATCCTTGCCGGCGTGATGGATGTGCTGCTGACCGATACCCGATACCGGATAACCGGCGGCCGTCGCGTAGCCGCCGTAACGATATTGTTCATAGTAACCCGGGGTGGCACCCACCCCCGGATACGACGGCGTACCCATGCCCACCGGCACCGCCGTCGCATGCCGATAGTATGCATTCTGCTCGCCAAAGAGCGTATGCATCTTTGTCTTTTTCCTCCGTACGATCAACGGATAATCGCGAATCGCGGATTACAAGGCCTTGAAAAAAAAAGCCTTTCTTTTTGACTAGGAATTGTTTTCTCTTTACAACGCTCGCTATTTTTTCTTTGCGTCTGTCGAGAGATAATTATACAATACACATATTTTTTGAATAATTGTGAAAAAATATCTCCGAATAGGACGGTTATTATTACTCGTGAATGTTAGATCGTTTCTTCATCGATGAATGTGTTAGTTTATATTAGAGAATGATGCTTGCATTAAAAGTTGCTTATATAATTTTTTTTACTTTATTTCGTTATGTAGATATTGCTTTTCTCCCGTTTTCAATTATTTTTTTTTTACAATCGTAAACTATTATTTGCCGATAGAATTAATTGTTGTTTTTAACTGTAACTTGTCCCTCGGATCTTATTACCTTTCCCTTCGTTCAATGTTATCTTTAATCAATAATCATCTTCCTCTTAACAATCGGATGTTGCATTCGCAAGCGGGAAAATTCACGCACGTATCCGTCACTTTGAACACTTTTGGCACGCGCACTTGTCGTCACTGCATTGCCGTGATCCAAGGGTGTTATTCGAGGCAGATCGATAAATTCCTACGTGCAATCACGCTCAGCTGGTACCCCGAAGAACACCGCGTTCTCGCTCATAGAATCCACGGCGCGCCCCGCACGCGTGCTGCTCCGCAATAGTATTTTGTTGACCGTGTATCCCGGGAATCTTCTCAGACACACGAAAGACGAACGAGTGTATGCGCGAGGTGCCGCGGCAAAGGTAGGAGAGGCGAAGATGCATTCAGTTGATCGGCGCGACTCGGTGCCGCTAACGCGGAGAGACGCACGCTAACCCCGTTAGTACCCCGCGTGTGCACGCCGCGGTATTATGATACACAACAGGCCGGAGTTTACTCAACCCCGAGTAAAAACACACTGGGAGCTCGGCGTCGCGCGCGGTCCGGAGTGCTCAGCGTTGCCCGAGGACGGCTGCGCTGTTCGTGCCGCTTTCAAAAAATCACGAGGTTTCCGCTCGTCGCGCCGCGCTATTGGCCGCACGACCGCACGCGACTCCGCCTGTACCACGGTACCAATCCGAACACGATGCGGAGACCGCTTTGAAGTACGTCCCACGACCTTGCCAATGATCGCGTCCCAGTCGCTCATGCAGTCACGCCCTCGACAAACTCGCGCAGGGCTCGAGGAGGGCTGCGTGTAACCGAACCGCACGCCGCGACGCGGAATTTTTCCGCGGCCCGATCGGCCGTCGGATACTTTTCGCGGATATCAAGCGGAACAACGAGCTCGAGGATTAAGGTGGTGATCTCGGTGGACCTTGCCCGGAGATAGCGGAAACGGCGGCAGCGAGTGATAGTTGCATGCGCGCGGTGTCTTAGCCGGGGATCGAGCAAGTGTCGAGAATGTTTAGGGTGACAGTGACAAGAGAAACGAATGGTCTCAGACGGCCGTGTGATTAAGATTTTACGGCGCACGTCCTAGAAGCTAGTGCTATCAGTATAAACCGGCTTTTTTATCCGTACACCCGGATACTCGATTATCTACCTACCCGTTTCTCAAATTCGTGAATATTCAAAATAATCGTATATTCAGATACTTAAAAATATCCAGATACTCAGATATTGACAGCACTACTAGAAAGAGAATACGCGAGAGAGATCATCGCATTTCAAAGATACTTATCTCTTAATATATTTTAACATTCTTAAGCTGTTTTAGATGTTAGTCATAAGGCGAAATCAAATTAAATTCGGAAAAGGTATTGGCGTTACTCGTGATCGACTGTGAAATATTTTTATCTTTGTTATATGTGTGCCACAGCTTTTTCTCCTGCTTGTAATTTTACGGGAGTGTTCCTCGAATATTTTAAATAGATTAAAATCTCAGATAACCCATATTTTGTTAAAAGATAAATAAAGCTGGAAATCGAACGCTAATTTAGAGGGCTAAATGCGCGCGGAATATCAATGCAGATCGTATCTAAATAATCTCTCAAATCTTTAAGTTAACTAATTCATTTAATTTTATTGATGCATGAGCCAAGTTTGAATACATTGTTGAACACAACATTAAAATCAAATAAGAATTACACGATTGAGAGAGCGATATAATCAATCATTTTCCTTTTTAAAATTTTATTGAGAAAGTATCTTTTTTAGTACGAATAGCATATGTGGATAAACATATAGTAAGAAATGACTTAATTCTAGAGCCTAGGTAAAAAATGTCAATTGTGCCACGTATAGAGCGCATAATCTATTTCCAATGTTAATTTTTTTAAATTTAATTAAATTAATAATACACACTTTTTTTATTTTACAAAAGATTTTATGTCAATTGTGTATGTTCTCTAACTGAATTATCAAATAACTAATTTTTTTTTATAATGCGATCTCTTCAAAAGATTTTATGTCAATTGTGTATGTTCTCTAACTGAATTATCAAATAACTAATTTTTTTTATAATGCGATCTCTTTCGCGGATACCAATTACTTACATGCGTATTCATTTATCTAAATATCTAAAATAATGTTCATTAATGTCACATACGATTTGCAAATTTATGCAACTAAGAAACTCACGAGAAATGTCAAACGATAACGTCATGTGGATAGACGGAAAAGAGGCTGCTCCGCGTTCTTATAGCACGACACTTTCAATTTAGCGTCTGTTTTTCCAAGGGTTCGACTCCCGCCTTGCGAAAACACTCGACAGGACACGTCGCCACCCCTCCTATTCCTCGCTACCGAGTTGCCGCCTCCGAAACCGTTGAATCGCGCTATCCAGGTTCTCAAAATATCTTCGATCATCCCGACGCACCATTTTTCGCCATTTAAATCTAATGCGTACACGCCGCGTGTTATTGAAATCAAGTTCTCTATGAGCTGAGGATAAATTCACGTGACGTTACAAGAAGCAGATTGAACTACTTAACGTGCTTAATTCTCCGTCTTTATTTAAAGCTATGTATAACATTAAGAATATATCAATAGAAAAGAGAAAAAGACACATACAGACACATGGAAATTTACAATTTAAAACAAATGCGACATATGAATTATATGATATGATAGATAGTTAGCTAAAGATAGAAATAATAAACAGAAATATAGAATGAAACAGAGAAAAAAAGGAAAAGAGAGAGAGAGAGACATAAAGAATTCATACTTTATCACAGTTCAATAAGTTACAATCCGTAATTACAATTTGCGAAAAAATATATAGATTATACGACGTTTTTTCGTTCATGCGATCCCTAGTGTATTTTTTCGAGCCGCGCACTGTCAAATTAATCATTGCCCCTACCAGACGATCAGGCGGTTAATTTTCATTTAAATGGAACGACAAGCGAGCGCTGCAGACGGTCTAGCTATCCAGATCCGCGAGCTCTTTCTCTCGCCTCGGGCTAACTGCCGCAAAACCAAGATGCAAAACGCTCTCTGGAAGTTCTGGCGAAAGTTTAATTGTCTTTTGCTTGCGTTCTATCGAGGTTCCTCGCTCTCCGCATCACCGAAACGATGTTTCTATACTGCAATCTATAATCTTTCCAATGAGTAAAAAAAGTTCACTGTCTCTCTCTCTCTCTCTCTCATAATATGTATTCAAAATATAATTGCGATGTATACTATAATATGCGACTACATTCTATGTTTTTTTCGCGTAATATTTTACTAGAAATTTCTTCATTTTCTCGACATTCTGCGCTAACGAGATATGTGACTTTGATAAAAACCAAGAGAGTAATCCGTTAATATCCATAAAAGTCCAAATATTTCAGATCGACTCCGTTCATCTTTTCCTAATTCATTTTTTATGTAAATGTAAAATGATTATAAAAATAAAATAAATCATAAATTCTTCTTTAAATAAAATTATATAATAAATCTCTTATTAGGAAATATTTAGAAAATAATATTTGGCCAAAAATAATATTTTATAGAAATAGTGTTATGTAATGTACAAAAAAAATAAAATATAGAATCTAGATCATCGTTTCTACTGATTGACAAATTTATCAATTAAACGATCGAAAATTCGCAGATTTATAAATTCACAGATCTGTGAATATTCAATCCATCACTTTACTCAATCATCGCAACTGTCGTGTGTGCGTAATCGAGGAGCACAAGATGTGTCTGCAATATTCGCAAAGTCCGGATTTATCTAGTCGAAGTTAAACTTAATAAGATCGCTTCATGAGCGAAGTTTGTTCGTAATCGGGATCAGCGCCGATTCGACGTAGGGCGTACACGGGCGATTTGCATATTTGTTATCGCCCCGGGACGAAATCGATTAAACGGGCGGAACTAAAATTAATTATTGAAATAATTATCGGCTTCCAACACTATCGCATCATTACACCATCAAAGCTAGATTGATATTCGAAATATCATAAATTTATTAAATATAATCTGTTATGTTACGCGCTATTTTTCTATAACTTTAGCTCTAAACTTTTTCTAGAAAAAAATAATTTTATAAAATGTGTATATAACATTAAATACAATTCATTAAATTTTAAAATTCGAAGATTTATAAAGAAATGATCTTAATCTCTCAAATATAAAATAACTAATGTCGAAATAAAAGGAAAAAACGAAATAATAGTCAAATATCAATTAAAAACATATAATTTACAAAAAGGATCCATTATAGGCGCTTTCTTTATATAATCATTTCGTAAATGCCATTTGTGTCATTTAACTTAAAGTATCCCAAGATTTAAAAAAAAAAATGATGTTTTATATTTTGACTCGTACTGCCGCTGCAAATATTTTCCTTGAAGTGCACCGCAGATGTGTTTGGAAAATTTCGAAACTTTTCAAAATAAACGATGCTTCTTGACCTATCCCATACGATCGGATTCTGGGTGATATGAACATCCGTAAGCCTCTAAACTATCTCTTCTTTCTCATCCAGAAACAATAAACTTCTTATTTCGGTATGACGTCGTCGTCATATCAGCCATCCCAATTGGTTGCAATACCCGCGAAAGAAAGTACATTATGACGCACACGGGACGATATAAATAGCATTGAGTAACGTTATCGGTATTTTGCGCAAATAATTCACGTCTGCGAATTGTACGGTGTTTTATTGTCTTGCATATTTTGTTTGCCGCAACCGCATCGTTGCTTGAAAGCTCTTTTCTCTTTAAAGTTTTCTACAGCTCTTATTCGCGTAATTATTTTTATGATTTTTTCTGCATATCTCTATAAAAACGTGAGTTTTGGATAAAGGCATCTGATTTTGATTTTAATTTTTATAATTTAATAGGAGTCCTTTTTTTATTACCGTTACATTTATATTTGCGAATGTGCAATATATGTATATGACAAACTAATGAAATTCTTCACTTTTCTCATAAAATAATCCTTCAATATTCTAATACCTGCTGTAGAAATATCTTTCGTAAAAAATCGTGGTCTTCCGTAAAATTTCTGAATAGTTTCGAACTAATACTGAAATAAAATTTATAAATTTGCTGTATAATAGATTATATCGCCTTCTTTCGGACACACTTATATTCGTTCCCGCGATTCCCTCTGAAGAAGCGCATCGCGCGATCCGATTAACTCGAGAAGAACACTCGTATGTTCGGATTCCGTATGTTTCTCGTCTCGGTCAACGATGGCGATGTTTACATAGCGCGGTGAAATTTAATTCCCGGGACCTTCGAACCTACACGAACCCGAATGTAAGCCAATACTCGTGCTCGCTCTGGCGATATCCGACGGTGGAAAATGGCGCCGTCGTGGAACAAGGGACGCAGGAAGATGCTGCGTCGCTCTGAAACGCGCAACCGTTTCCGCTTTAATTTCCAGAAAGAACCGATCCGCGTCGGAAATCCACTCGACGGATTAGCATGTCCAAAGGGAACAGACACTATTAGCCTCTATGATCGTTACAATTCGTTGCGTCTTCTCGGGAAACCAATTTTCTAAATGATGTTTTTTGCGTTTTTTTTTTCTTCAATTCCATTATCCATTGTTCTTTATTCACACATTATCGACTTTATTTAAAATTCGTGTTAAAAGTAGATTTACGCTTCATAAACCGTATAAATGTTGATACACGCGTGATTATTAAATGATATCGTGAACCAAATTTTGTAAATGAAACGATCGCAGTTTACTAGCCGCAGTTTACTAGCCGCATCTTTCGCGCGTTTTGCGAT